AGGATGATGAGGGGGCTGGAGACTCAAACATACGACGAATGGTTGCAGGAACTGGGCATGGCTGGTCTAGGGAACATAGCCACAAAGCTATCAAATTGTCATAGTAAACAAATAAAACTATAAATTGAAAGATACACGTTTTCAGGAACTGGACCTGCCTAGTCTAGGGAAGAGAAGCACCAGGGGAGACAGGAGAGCATCTTCCAATATTCTCCAAAGCATCTGAAGGCAGGCAAGGGACAATGAATAGAAACTGAACAAGGAGAAATTCAACCTGGAAATAGGGAGAAATTTTCTGATGGTTGTTAAAATGAATCACTGCAGTTGTTAAGTTAGCAATACAGTCGTTAAGTGAATCTGGCTTCCCCCCCCTTGACTTTGCTTGCCAGAAGGTGGCAAAAGGGGATCATACAGCAACGGTCATAAATATGAGTTGCCAAGCGTCCAAATTCTGATCACGTGACTAAGGGGAGGCTGCAATGCAAAATGTGAGAAATGCTCTGAGGTTACTTTTCTCAGTGCCGTTGTAACTTTGAACAGTCACTAAATGAATGGTTGCAGTTCGAGGGCTGTCAAGAGTCCCCATTGTCCAGCATAACACCTTTCTTTCCTCTCTACCTATGACTGCAGGTACCTGCATTCCTTGCACTACGACATAAAGAAGGGGAAATGGAGCGAAGAGGAGGAAAAGAAACTGATTGAGCTGACCGAAAAACACGGCAGGGGTAAGGGGAGGGGCTCCTGACCAAGATGGAGGGGGGACGTGGGGCTTGTGCCCTTGCCTGTTGTGGGGGAGGGGTTCAGCAGGCCCTAGAGGTGTCCTGTTAGTTCTCCAGGGGGTCTTAGTGGCTTCCCATGAGCTCACAGAGGAAACATTGGACTGCCATTTGTCAGAAATGGTGTAGGGTCTCCTGCTTGGGCATGGGTGTTGGACTAGATGACCTACAAGGTCCCTTCCAACTCTGTTAATCTGTTAAGGAAGATTGCCAGTCACATGAAGCCTTAGTGCCGCTTTACAAAACCCTAGTAAGGCCACATCTGGAATACTGAAATCAATTTTTGGTCCCCACATTATAAAAAAGAGGTTGAAACTTTGGAAAAAGTGCAAAGAAGAGCAATTAAAATGGCCAAAGGCCTGGAGACTAAAACATATGAAGAACGGCTGCAGGAATTGGGTCTGGCTAGTCTAAAAAAAAGAAGAATTAGGGGTGACATGATAGCAGTATTTTAATATTTGAAGAGCTGCCACAAAGAAGAGGAAGGGGTCAAAATACTCTCCAAAGCACCAAAGAAGGCAGGACAAGAAACAATGGATGGAAACTAATCAAGGAGAGAAGCAACCTGGAATTAAGGAGAAACTTCCTAACAGTGAGAACAATTAACCAGTGGAACAGCTTGCCACCAGAAATAGTGGTCGCTCCATCACTGGAGGTTTTTAAGAAGAGTCTAGACGGTCACTTACCTAAAATTGTATAGGTTCTCCTGCTTGAGCAGGGGGCTGGACTAGAAGACCTCCAAGGTCCCTTCCAGCTCTATTCTATTCTAAACCTGATGCACTTTCCAATGTTTTGATTTTTTGCAGGGAGAGCAGAAAGCTGGCTATATGCCCTGCTCCGTCTTCTGTGATGGGCGCTTTAAAAATCAATGCTTGTCTTGCCTTATTGGACGTCATCCTTCATTTTGGATGGCTTTTTAAGTTTTCTTAGCCCCTTTCCTGCAAGAAATGCAGCGTCGTTTCTGAGAGCGATCCTCAGAAAGGCTCCCCAGTCCCAAAGGTGCTTTTGTTCAAGAGGCAACTGGACTCCCTGGTTTTTCTTTGAAGATGTTTTGCTTCTCATCCAAGAAGCTTTTTCAGCTCTGAGAGAAGAAGAGTTGAAGAAGCTTCTTGGATGAGAAGTGAAATGTCTTCAAAGAAAAACCAGGGAGTCCAGTTGCCTCTTGAACAAAAGCACCTTTGGGACAACCACGGATGACTAAGGATCTCCACAGACAAGCCTGCTCTGCTTTACAGATTATTTTAGTTCCAGGAAGTCAGGAGGAAGTAATTCCTTTGTTCTCTCTCTTTTTAGGCCACTGGGCAAAAATAGCCTCGGAGTTGCCCCACCGTTCCGGGTCTCAATGCCTAAGCAAGTGGAAAATCTTGCTGGGGTACCGGGTGAGTTCAGCTCTTCCTTATGCCATGGTTTTTGTTTTGTGATATCGTAAGAAAATTCCAATAGGAAACAAAGGCAACAACGCAAGCAATAATTCTTACTTTTAAGATCAGAGGTTTATTGTCTCTAATAATTTGAGAAATGAATAGATATAAAAGATGTAACAGCAATAATACACTGCATTAATGCAGAGGGCCAATGGGAAATAACAAGTCTTACAAGGACTGCTATAAATCCAAGAGCTCCGAGCCGATCCTGAACCCATCCTTTATACTTTTCTTCTAACCACATACTTGCTTCACAACCTCACTAACTCTCACTGTCTGCGAACACCTGTGTACATTACTTTCAATTCCTCTTTTCCAACAGTTTCATTCTTCCTGTTTTAAACGAATCCATACAAGTGCATATTTTAGGAAAACATATTTCACAGTTAGCAACGGTTCAGCAGGATTACAAATGTTTCTGGTAAATTTTGAAATCATCCTAGCTGAAAACTAAGAGCTGTATCTCTTTCTTCTGCGACCTTCTATTACCCATAGGACTTATTGAAGCCCCTCTTTGGCTTCTTCCGGACTTACAGGAGGGGAGAGGGACTTAGGAACTCTCCCTCCTCTTCACTATCACTATCACTGATCCTGACCTCCATATCTGCACAAATCCACCTGACTGGACTTTTCAAGATCTGCGCAATTTTTATGGATGGAGTGTGTATGGTATGATTGCTGATGAATTAACCCACTTAATTTTAACTAATTTATATTACCTATTGTATTTTTGTATTTTTTTTAATTGACTTTAGTGGGGTATGTATGAGAGAGTGACTGTGGGTATGCAGGAGAGGACTGAAGGTGCAGCCTGGTGCCTCCTCCACTGAGTGCATAAGTAGAAGTGGTAGGGGGCCCAGGCCCACCTCTCGTCCTAGAATGAATGATAGATTTGGCCTGCTGGTGAAAGTGGGGGCCATGGGGGAGGGGGTCTACGGGGGTGGGGGCAGGCTGGAGCATTCCGGTCATGATAGGGCAGGTTTGACAGGAGCTACAGGGCTAGCCATTACCGGGGAAGGAGGGCTCGCTACATCGCAGCGATCCCTTGTTCCGGCCCTGTAAGCTCAACTCAAGGACCTGGTGGCAGGAGAAGCCAGGGCCCTGGTCTCAGGTTGTTGTTGTTAAATGCCAGGTCTGTGATTCATAAAGCTCCCCTCGTCCGGGACTTAATACTTGACGAGGGGGCACACCTGGCATGTATTACTGAAACCTGGCTGGGCCATGAGGGAGGAGTCCCCCTCTCTGAAATGTGCCCGGAAGGGTTTCAGGTGCTCCACCAACCACGACACCAGAAAAAGGGGTGGGGGTTTGGCAGCTATTATCCGATGTTCATTAGTTCCTCGCAGGGTCCCTGCTCCAGAGACTGTGGAGTGTGAGTCTCTTCTCTTGAAGTTGGACCTTGTTCAAGTGGGCTTGTTTTTGATGTACCTACCTCCCAGCTGCGTCACAA